TCAGATATAATCTTCAAGCTGGACAAAATCTTTTTGAAGATGGCGTCATTTAAAATTGGTCGTTCACGTAACTTTTCAAACAGAAGGTCTGAGCAAAAACAAGTTCGCTTTTGTGTCAACTTTTCCACAAGGAGATCCAAAATAACAAAAATCTATAAAATTATTTAAGAATGGAAAACAATCATCAGTTTTCTGTTTTGTTAGTTTTCTGAACACAAAATTTTAAAGAGCTGATATTACACTTCATAAATTGTTTAACAGTTTTTGATTGTCATTCGGTTTTTACTAATATTGTTGTTTTGACAGCACTTGAATTTTTTTGATTTAGTTTATTTTCTAGCTCAGTATTGTACGCATAAAATCACAAATGCGTATTTTAAACATTGTGTTTATCGTGTTGTCATACATTTATTGTAAAATGAGCTATATTTCTGATTTTCATCATAAATCAATTATCAAATGTTGTATCGCAGCGTGTTAGTTGTTTGTATCATCTCGAATTAAAACTTGAACTATCTCGAATTATAACTTGAATCATTCTATAACTTTGATATCATCTCAAATTATAACATCTCGAAAAAATTTTTATTTAAAAAAGGGATATAAATTTTCAGGTTTGTATCTAAATCTGGAGAATTTGGGTTTCAAACAGTTACTCACAGCTGTGCTTAGATCATTTCAAATTTTTAAAACTTGTTATTGTTGCTTAGTTGTTGTTTTTTTTTGTTAGCTTGTTAATTATTTAAGAAGAGTAAAGTCATTTAAAAAAATCCGCACTGGAGCTCCCTGTTTAGAGATCAATTATAGTAAAATGATTTTTTCATTCTCCTCAAAAACTTTTAAAAATTAAGTCTACTGAATTGATAATTGCATATAGTTATTCATAAAAAAGGAATCAGTATACTTCCTCAAAATCGATTTTTATCCTTTTGTGTTCGTTTTTCAATTTTTATTGATAATGCAATGATATCATGAAAAGAAAAAAATCTTTTGTAAATTTAGAATAAAACCTCATTTCGCATTAGTTTGTTATATTGGGTTTAGTTTTTGGCTGACACATTCATAGATAATTTCTAAATTTCTTGAATTTTGGTTACGTTTTTTTAAGCTTTGCCTTACAATCACCCGTTCACGACTCCAAATTTGCTACTTTGCATTAGTTTGACAAAAGTGACAAAATATATGACAAAAGTGCTACTTTGAATTAGTTTGCCAAAACTTAGAGAACTTCAAAGGCTATATGGCTGAGCGCTTAATACAAACAGAAAGCCAGCGTGAGAGTGTGGGTTCAAGTCCCACCAGGAGAGTTTTTCAACCTAGAAAGAGCCTACATTTAGCTGATCAGAAATTAGATGAGAAAAAAATTTAAAAAATTCTTGCTCTCTTTAAGCTCGTCAAACAAAATTCTCCGCGAAATATTTAGATTTGAAGTCAAGTATATATCACCAGAAATAAGAACCTATTTCGGTACGGGTTTAGTTAACTTCATTAACGCAGAGTTTTCTTCTAATTTACAATATTGCCAAAAAAACCAGTGCGTTTTTCAATTTTAACTTATTGAGTTTTTTCTCGAGATAAATGATAGTTTTTCATGTATCAATGCTTCATAGATATCGCAAATGGTTTTTTTCAACACAATGCAATATAAGAAAAAGTGGAAAACATTTAATGTAAAGACTCATTTAACAAACTCCTCACATTAACTTACACCAGTGGGAGGGTTGTTGTAAGCAGGAGGTGGTAGGTATGTAAAATAGGAGTAGGTAGGATGGAGGGTTTTAATGTTGCAGTTAAAATGGGGGAGGTTATGTCAATATGCTAAATAGCAGAGTAGCCTTCCTCCAAAATTTTTTAGTGTTGAAATATAAGTTTTTAGTGTTGAAATTTGAGCAGTCCGTGAGTAAAAAACATAACATTCTGTTTCTTTTTCAGAATATTTTTTTGAAATCATTTCATAAAATAAAATTTTTTTTTCAAAACATTTGCGATATGAGAAAAAAGGAAAACTTTTAATGTAATGACTCATTCAACAAACTATAATCTTTTTTGAAGGAATTTTTTCAGTAATAGTAATTTATTTTTGAGAAAAAAATGCGTGACAATCAATTTCCAATCAATTTTGTTGGCAGAGATTGCCTTCGTACAATCATTTTGATCTCGGAAACCTTTTACCATCGAGATTTTGCATAACTTAGTTGCGGTTAAGTATTAATATACTATTCGTTATCGCAAAACAAAAATAAAGATTCAATCTGCTGCTGTCAAGCGTGCTAACTTTTGTTCTTACTCTTAGTATTTGCTTAAATAGTTTACCTGCCTTCCCATACCGAACAAAACTTCTAATCTGGATACCATTTTTTTTAGTTATTCCAACCTATATTTTTATGTTTTCTGTACATAAACTCATTATTTGTCATCTAACATCAGAAATATACAATTTCTATATACAACCAAAAAAACCTACAATCATTTTACTGCTCAACCGCAACGGAATAAGTTACGATTCTGATTGCTTTGATTATACAGAGTAGTCGTCGCAGAACAATTCAACTAACCCTTGTTATAAACTGCTACTTTGCAATAGTTTGCCAAAATTTATTAAACTTTCAAGGCCATGTGGCTGAGCGCTTAACACATACGCAAAACTAGCGTGAGAGTGTGGGTTCAAGTTCCACTAGGAGAAGTTTTCACTGAAAAAGCCTACCTTTAGCTGATCAAAAATTAGATGAGACTTTTTTTTAAGTTCTTCTTGCTCTATTTAAGCTCTTCAAATAAAATTTTTGGCGAAACATTAAATTGAAGTCAAGTATTTCTCACCAGAAATACGAACAATTTTTGGTAATGGTTAATTTAACTTCATTAACGCAGAGTTTTCTACTAGTTTACAAATTTACCGAAAAAAAAACAAGTGCGTTTTTCGATTTTAACTTATTGAGTTTTTTTCTCGAGATAAAGGATAGTTTTTCAATCATCAATGCTTGATAGATATCGCAAATGGTTTTTTCAACACAATGCAATATGAGAAAAAGTGGAAAAATATTTAATGCAATGACTCATTTAACGAACTCCTCACATTTAACACACAACTGAGGGAGGGTTGTTGTAAGCAGTGTAAGGTATGTATGTAAGTTAGGATGGAGGGTTTTATTGTTGCAGTTAAAATGAGGGAGTTTATGTCAATATGCTAGATAGCAGGGTAGCGTACCTCAAAAACTTTTTAGTGTGAAATTTGAGTTTTTAGTGTTGAAATTTGAGTATAAAACATAACAATCTGTTTTTTTATCAGAATAATTTTTTCAAATCAAGTGATATCACAAATGTTTTTTTTTTCAAAACAATGCGATATGAGAAAAAGTGGAAAATGTTTCATGTAATGACTCAACCAACATACTATAATTTTCTTTATTGTATATTTTTCAGTAATAAAAATTTAATTTTCGCAAAAATAATGCGTGACAATCAATTTCCAATCAATTTTGTTGGCAGAGGTTGCCTTTGGACAATCATTTTGATCTCGGAAACCTTTTATAATCGAGTTTTTGCATAAGTTTGATGCGGTTATGTATTAATATACAATTCGTTATCGCAAAATTTAAAAAAAAATTTCAATCTGCAGTGTTCAAGCGTACTAACTTTTATTCCTTATCTTTGTAGTTGCTTAAATGGTTTACCTGCCTTCCCATACCGAACAAAAGCTTCTAATCTCGATACCAATTTTTTTTTTATTCCAACCCATATTTTTATGTTTTCTGTACATAAATTAATTGTTTGTCATCTAACATCAGATATATACATTTTTTTATCCAAAAAAACCTACAATCATTTTACTGCTCAACCGCAACGGAATAAGTTATGATTCTACTTGCTTTGATTATACAGAGTAGTCGTCGAAGAACAATACAACTAACACTTGTTATAAAAGTGCTACTTTGCAATAGTTTGTCAAAGTTTATAGAACTTCCGTGGCTGAGCGCTTAACACATACGCAAAGCTAGCGTGAGAGTGTGGGTTCAAGTTCCACTAGGAGAAGTTTTCACTGAAAAAGCCTACCTTTAGCTGATCAGAAATTAGATGAGAATGTTTTTTTAAGTTCTTCTTGCTGTATGTTTTTGGCGAAACATTAAAATTTAAAGTCAAGTACTTCTCACCAGAAATAAGAACATTTTTCGGTAATGGTTAATTTAAGTTCATTAACGCAGAGTTTTCTACTAGTTTATAAATTTGCCGAAAAAAAACAAGTGCGTTTTTCGATTTTAAATTAATGAGTTTTTTTCTCGAGATAAATGATAATTTTTTATTTATCAATATTTCATTGATAATATTCTGATTTGCTTTCGTTTTTTGAAAAGCAGATGAACCTAACGTATTATTTATTATAACTTAATGTGATAGCGATAAATGTTCCCTATAGAATAGTCTGTCTAAAGAATGATTCCTTATTTGAACAGTATTCAAAGCTAAACGCCGCAGGGTCAGCAAATCACCTCAATTGTTTGTGACAAGGTTAAATTAAAAATCGCCGTCTTGGGATTTGTTATAAAAAGAATTAAAAATAAAAAAAATGAAAAATGTCGTTTTATTGGATTAAAGTTAGTGAACATCCACACTGACTAATATGAAACGAATTAAACGAAAAATTCTGGGAGCAAGGAGACTTTATTAAAGTTTCAACTTTTGCTTCATGAAATCTTAAGATTAACCCATGAAACTTTAACTTGCCTTTGGGCTTTTTAATTGTTGCAGATTTAAGTCAAAAATATATGCACAAGTTTTTTTGCAAGTAATTAAAATCAATCAACTTTGTTTTTATGATTTAGTCAAAATTTTGTATTCTAAAAAATGTCTAAATGATTTTTATTTGTTTTTGGCTACAAATTAGCTGAGAAACAAAAGCATAATGATGAGATCAAGTACCTGACAAGTAATAGGCATATGTTATGCATTTTGACGATTCTGTTTTATTCAATTTAAATGCAGAATATTTCTATCTACAATTTTAAACTCCAATTCTCAAAAATCCTGTATACCAATTTTGAACTCTATTCAGCCAATCGCAAAAATCGGACTGTTCTTTAATCAGACTAAGTTAATAAAATCTGGTATGAATTTGTTATAATCCCCCTCGGCGTAAAAACATTCGCTACTGATTTTCTTCTGCTTTCATTTTTATGCTATTTGAGTTATTCCTGGTTATTACTTGTTACCTGGTTTTAACTGGAGGGGAAGCTGTTTATTAATGCCAAGGTTAAATCACTTGGAAAACTTTATTGCGTCACAACTGGAAGAAAACATCCAGACTTGCATTAACTATGAGAAAATTTATTCAAAAAATTATCAGTTGAACGATAGAAAACAAATTGAAATGTCTATTTCCATATTATGAATTATTTGATTAGCTTTTCCTGCAAAATTTTGGCCCAAATTACGTTCTTGTTGTACTAGCCCGCCTCTGGGGAAAAACTGACAATTGAAAAAGTGATAAAGTTTTTGATTTAAGCGATCCATTGATACTTTGTTTTCGATTCACCTTGCATTTTTGCTTTTTTAATTAATTCAACATAAAGCTCAAATTCAACTTAGTTTTTATATCCCTTCAAATTAATCTATATTCATTTTCAAAGATGTTTGAAGTTTGTGACACTTTGAAATCAAATCATTTCGTGACAACTTAATATTAGAACTAAAGAATTGTATTTTTCTCGATTTCCATCAAAATTACCATAATTATCTCTTACTTATTTTTGTGCAAAATGTTCATAGTATTCCGAATTCAACTTATTCTACTTTATTTTGCCGCGACAACGATATCATCAAGTAAGTTTTTAAAGTGACAATAAAATTAATTTTAGCCAATCCTTTGAAAAATACCGACAAGTAAATTGTAATTATTATATGCTATACAGGTTAAAAAGTTGGTCAATTCACGTAAAATTTAAAATTTTCAGTTTCCTTTTGTTTTGAATTTGCCGTAAATGTTCTCTCGAAATTATAGTAGCTTCTCACGTTTCCTTGGTAATTTTTGTCACTCCAAAAACATTTTAGTAGTAAAAAAAATCTAAAAATCATTTGGAAACTTTCTTTTAATTCATCTGAAACGCAGGGAAAGTTGTGCCACTTAACTGTTAAGAGCACAATCATTTCCAAAAAGAACGTCATCTTTGCAATCAAAATCAGATGGCTAAATTTCTCTTCTAAGACTTTGACATCTTCACCTACCAGTGTTACTATTGTGTGAAGAAAATCAGAACCTCTACGGTTTTGCCATGATTTGAGTTATATTTGTCTAATATTATATCAAATTGATATATAATTAGAGAGGTCATGTAACATTTGATATATAATACTTGATATAATAAAACTCAAGCAAATCAGTCACATCATGACAAAGTTATGAGTTTCAGTTAAAGATTCTTCTTTCAATACGTTGTCAAATGTCTGCTCCCCTAATTGCAATTTCCTCTAGAAGATGATACCCACACTGAAAAAACTGAATTAAGATTGTCTGAAATAAATTCTGTTTACATTTTCGGTTGTTTTCAGCGGTTTCTTACTGTCGTAAAAAAATAACTCTTTGATGATTCACAATGAGACAATCCGGTCTAGAAAAGGAATTGAAAAACGAGCAAATCAAATGAAGTGAATGTATTTTGGTAATTCAACAAATTGGTCAGTAACAGAATAATAGTTTCAAGCCTCAAAATTCGTCGAACATTTTTTTCTAATTGGGTGATTTGTCTATGTTTTCCTTGCCTTACTATCTCTTGTAATTGCCTAACAAGATCAGTGTCTGGATCAGACCCGTCTCCTTGTCATCCACCCACTCTTTTTGCCTGAACAAAGCTTAATACGCTCAAAACACGAACAAAATCAATTTAAACGAGTTTTAAATTTCGGAAAACTTCAATATATAGTCCTAAAATTCCATTTCAAAACCGTTACTGTGACAGTAGTTTGAGGTGATTTGCTTACTGAAAACCATAATGGTTTCAACAATGAGAAATGCTAATTCAGGCAAAATTGTTCTATTTTTTTTTGTATAAAAAATAACCTTGTCTTTTTGCTAATTTTTGCAAAAAAAATTCATGAAAAAACAAAATGCTCAAAAGTTACAGATTAAAAAGCTCGCCTAAAAATGAGTGATTTTTAAATCTACCACTTTTTTTAGTTTACTCATATCAATTAGTAGAACAAAATTGGTATTCATTTCTTATGTAAGTTTTATGGAATAAGTACTAAGAAAAGACTAAAAAAGCCAGTCTGTTAACCTGCTTATTAAAATTTAAGCTGTCAAAACAGAATTATTTGAAGTGGAGAATTTCACTAAAATTTTCAGATCAATTTTAAACGAAATGAATTGAACTTATCTTTTTGAAAGTATTTCTCTAATATGTCTACCAAATTAATTGCAATCATTTTTCTCAAGACGAAATATAAGCGTACACAGTTTTTCTTTTTGACACTTTAAAGAAATTGTTAAAACTCCTTTTGACCGTTATAACTTGTCAAGAGTAAAACCAGCACGATTCCCACGTTTTCAAAATTAAATTTTTAATTCGAAATTTAAGAGTAAAAGATTTTTGCAATTGGCATTTTAGGTTTACTTTTTGATGCTTGATATACTCAGACAAAAAATGGAATTTCCAATAACACAGACAATTCCGAGCAACTTTTTTATAAAGAGCATTTTGTAAGTTAAATGAATTTGAAAATAGCTGTTAGGATTGCGTCATGAAAAAAATCATAACTCCAAAGACTAAGGTTTAGATGCAAAAAAAATTTTAGCAAAGTTTCTTGCAAATAAGGATATTTGCTAAATCATTTCTGAAAAAAAATTCGCCCAGGTTGATATTGCAATCGACTACTCCTTCGATAAAATCGACTACTCCTTCAGATTCAGTACAGTACCACACTTCTCTGATCGGAGAAAAAATCAGATTTAATTACCTTAGTAATTCAACAGTATTGACAACATTTTTGACGGTTTTTTTTGTAGGTTTTTCAAGGTTGTACCCAAGAAAAAATTGTGATCGTAGTTGCCCACATGCCATTTACAATGACAATGGGACCATGTGAATCAAAGCAAAGGATCGCTGTACTGAATTGTTGTTTGTATCAGCGGATTTTTCGACGTTGGAGCTCGATCAACGTTGGAGCTCGATAGAGAAAGTTTTCTTCTGAGAGTTCTACATTTTTTAGGTCACTTTAAACAGGAAAATTTCGTACTTTATGAAAACTTAGGCATAAAAATATTGTGCTATTTAACAGATCTCTGTTACAACACTTCATTTTAGGAAAATTTTTGCAAAAAAAAAACGAAAATTAAAAATGTTAATTTTTTTGAACGTATTATTTCTTAATCAAAACTGGCAATGGGATCATTCAGGTTTTCTCAATGATATAAGCAGACGTCTTCAATATTTTAGCAGAAAAGCAATCTTAGTTTTTTTCGAACTTATATACTAGTTTTATAACAATCATCTTTTTGACACCTTTTTCATAGTTGGTTGTGATTCAAACTTCAGAAATTTTTTCTTGATTTTTCCTTGAGGTACAAAAAGTAGACACAAAATGTGATTTACAATTTACTTTACAACTTCTTCTCAATCTCAGCAAGCGTCTCTTTTTATTGCTAGCAGTTCTATGATTGCAGCAAGTCTCGTTCTTAGCTCTTCAAATGTAACATTAAGAGGTTTTATGAATATTGTTTTTCAATTTTAACCCCTGTAATAATTGGCTATTAAGACTAGCTGGAAATTTCTTGTTTTAAACAAAACCTAAAGAAAACTCTTATAAAATAATCGAAGTCCGGAGTATATTATACAGATTGAAACAGTACTTTTCAAAGACTTTTAAGAGAAAACATTAGAGCACAGAAAATGATCACGCCAAAAATAACAAAAAATCAAATTGAATAGCAAAACAAGTACACAATTTTTTTTTGACATTTTTGAAACTTTTGGAGAGCATATTTTGCTCATTACTGATTAAATTTTTAAAAATTCAGTCCCCGTTTTTACTTGAGCATCGATGCAGTAAAACCAATTTAGACAGTGGTCATGTTTTAGATAAATTTGATCAAGCTTGTTCGAAAGAACCTAAAGATATTGAAGAATGTCAATATTATCTGATCCCACTTTCCAACGGCTGTTTTTATAATCTCCCTTGGTGAATCCTAAATTCCCTCAAAAGGAGGAGTTTTCCTAAAAATGTTTTTTTTCTTAGGGGCATTGCTATATTTGTTAGACCCCCCAGAACAAAAACCCTAAGAAGAAAATATCAGTTTGTTAGTTTTTTTTGCCAAAGCATTCCCTCGAAATCATTTTTGCTTGGGGCTTGTCTAGTGCAGTATTTGTTAAACCCTAAACCCTCTAAACTATAAAGCCCTAAACAAAAATTATCAATATATTGTTTTTTTAACGGAGGCGTTTTCTAGGAGTCATTTTTTACTCCAGGCTGTATTTCTTTTTGTTTGCGTCTTTAATTCGAAAACCCAGAAATTAAAAGGTCGAATAGTTAGTTTTTGTGTCTAGTGTTAAGCCAAACTTTAACAAGACTGCTCGTATCAGGGCGAAGCCCTGAATGTTCCGACTGCCTTTTAAGGTTTAATGAGCAGCAGTAATACATAAAAAAATTAAATGAAATAAAATAAAATGAAAATTTTTTTTTTCTAAAATTTGAAATTTTTTATGAAAATCATCCCCCCACACGCCATATAAAGTACAAAAAGATAGATTTCGTTCCTTGTAACAAATCAATTATGGCAAATAAGCTTCGTTCAACCAATTTGGAACGATTTATAAGACGGATTAAATCTCCGCTTACGCGTTAACAGCGCGAATTATATTGCGCGTTAATTGACCCAAATTGGTCAAAATGGCCAAAATGGAAATCTTTAAACCCTCATAACTTTACGAAAAATGATCACAGGTGAAATATCTTTTCAAATTTAAGCTCAAGACAACAATGACTTTTGAATGATATAAAAAAATTCCGTCAAAAATGGCTAGTTAAAAAGTCGAAATTTGTCTGAAGAAAAAAAAAACCCACCCCGAGCACAAATATTTCGTTACTTTCGTATCGAAAGTCGGAACAATAACTGCTTCGGTAGAATAGCAGCTTGATATCCTTGCCATTTTATAGCAACTATTTATATACACAATTAACAAGACTGCTCGTATCAGGGCGAAGCCCTGAATGTTCCGACTGCCCTTTAAGGTTTATGGAGCAGTAATAACATTAAAAAATTCAATGAAATAAAACAAAATGAAAAAAAAATTTTCTAAAATTTAAATTTTTTTATGAAAATCATCCCCCCCACACGCCATATAAACTACAAAAGGATAAAATTCGCTCCTTGTAACAAATCAATTATGGCAAGTAAGCTTCGTTCAACCAATTTGGAACGATTTATCAGACGGATTAAATCTCCGCTTACGCGTTAATAGCTCGAACTATATTGCGCGTTAATTGTCCCAAATTGGTCAGAATGGCCAAAATGGCAATCTTTAAACCCTCATAAATTTACGAAAAATGATCACAGGTGAAATATCTTTTCAAATTTAAGCTCAGGACAACAATGACTTTTGAATGATATAAAAAAAATCTGTCAAAAATGGCTAGTTAAAAAGTCGAAATTTGTCTGAAGAAAAAAAAAACCCACCCCGAGCACAAATATTTCGTTACTTTCGTATCGAAAGTCGGAACAATAACTGCTTCGGTAGAATAGCAGCTTGATATCCTTGCCATTTTATAGCAACTATTTATATACACAATTAACAAGACTGCTCGTATCAGGGCGAAGCCCTGAATGTTCC